ACTGCTTATGATTTAAAGTGACTTTTTGCAGATTATACTGTAGAATCTAGGGGTTTCCGTAACACCAATGTTACTGCAGGCACTGGCACCTGAAGTGCTGTGGAAGTGTAAGCAGTTGCTGTTCACGTGCTTTGTGTTACAATTCTCTGTGGCTAGCAGTAGGAACGGCTCTGCCCGGCGTTACAGCGGAACTCCGCGTGCGCAGAGCTGTTTCGGGGCGGAACGGGGTGCTTCCACGCGTCCATCCCGGTACGCCTTATAAACCCACCCGGCTCCAGCCGCGCCTGCGGGGCTGAGGGAGCGGCCTGGGAGGGGCGGGGCCCAACATGGCGGCGGCGCGGCTGCGCGTTAGCGCTGGGCGGGAAACTTCGGGCGGGCGGGCGATGGAGGCGGCGGGCGGCGAGCAGCGGGAGCTGCTCATCCAGGTGCGGCGGGGCCGCCTCTTGTCCTGGTCCCCCCCGGCGGGGCCCGGCTGGTGGGCCAGGGGCGGGGGGCCCCGTGTGGGCGAGGCGCGGTGCGCGCAGGGCAGGCTGCGGGCTGAGCTGTGCGGGGCCGTCTTGTAGAGGCTGCGGGCCGCGGTGCACTACACGACGGGCTGCCTGTGCCAGGGCGTCGCTGAGGACAAGGGCGTTCTGTTCAGCAAGCAAACTGTCGCCGCCATATCCGAGATCACCTTCAGGCAGTGCGGTACGTCCGCGTGTTACCCTGTGGCCCAACGGCGGCTGCTGGGGATGGGCTGCGCTAGGAGAAAGAGCCTCGGGCTCTCAGTGATGCAGAGCTTCTTGTGTCGTGACTTTACAGCTACAAGAAATAGTCATTCTGTTTTTCTTACCTCAAAAAAGCACTTAAATATATGCAAACTACTCATGGCCCATCTGCCTGTGCAGCAGTGTTATGTGAGAACAAGCTGTGGTCCCTTCTTGTTATTTTGTTTGACAATTTGCCATTGCACCTTTGTATTACAGCAGTATGTACTTCCAAATCAGACACAGCGTTCTAAAATACAACATGTCTCTCTTTTTTCTCCAGAAAACTTTGCAAGAGACGTCGAGATGTTTGCCAGGTATGTTGCAGGACATTGTGAAGGCATTTTTGCATTATCCCAAATTATAGAATGTCCCATGCTGGAAGAGATCTTAAGGATCATTAAGTCCAGCTCCTGTCTCCATCAGACCAACCAAACATCAGGCAGTACATCTGATTTTAATTGCGTAATCTTTAAAATGCATTTTGCAGTTCTTTTTTAAGGTTTTAAAAAGCTCTCTTGGCTGATTAAATAGTTACTGTGTAAATAAGAAATAGACATGCTGTTATAGGTTCTTCCTCATCTTGGAATTCCATGTGTGCAGTGTGAATGATTGTTTAGATTAGCAACTGCATATAATTGCCAGCTGTGTTGATGTGTAGCGGTGCTGGGTGGTTTGGGAGTGACAGATGCTTGCTAGCATACCTGTGGTTCATCTGGTTGCTTCAAGGAGGTAAGGGAATGTTTAAGGAGTCTGTGACTGAGTGAAAACCAATTCAGTAACACACTGGGAAGTCAGAGTGAGCAGCAGTGCCTGGTGTTCTGGTTACTGAACTCTACTGTTTCTGTGTAGTGTATTTAGATGTATGCATACATGACTACAACACAAAATTTTTTTTACAAACGATGGGTATCGTTGGTTTACTGGGTCCCTATTAAGCCCTATTAGTTAAACGTTCTCCGTGACTTTTTACACCTGGAGTTAGCAAACACATCAAGAAGCGTTTTTAAATTACATGCAGGCATGCAAAGCGAAGCACAATCACTTTGGAAGACGTGAAGCTTTTGGCTAGAAGGAGCAATTCTTTGGTGAGATTCACTGTATTTTCTGCCTTACAACTTTCTCATACCTGTTGGTTAATTCCTAAGAGCATCTGAGTGATGCTCTTTAAATGTTGAAGCAACTGTTGTTTAAGCAGTTTAATTGGTTTATAGATGATGGATGGGCACGATCCCATGATTTGTTTTAATTTTCATCACATTTTTCTTCATGATGCTATGCCTCACTGTGGGCATCTGATTGCAATTTAAGCAACAATGCTCTGGTTGCAGTAGAGCTTCTGAGGTTCCAAATGTACGAATACAATAAACAAGCACTATTTTTTTTCCTGACATTGTATTCCTTTATTTTAGCATAAGGTCAGACCCCGTTTGCACCAGTGTCAAGTTGCTGGGTCTCCTAGTCAGATTAGCATAGGGATGATTCACTTCATTTCTCTTCTGTGCTGGCCTATACGAGAAGGCTTATCTTTGCTTTTTAAGGACTTTACAGTATAAATCGGTGCTGCTTTTAAAAATAGACCTGCAAATGAAGTTTTGAAAGCTAAATTGACTGCTAATGTTCATTTTATGCATTTTTTTCCCTTCTATGTGATTTAAACTATGCAACAAGAACTCAGTGTGAAAGGACATAGGAAAGGCTGGAGCTGAATTTTTTGTTCTTAATAATTGTGCACTATTTATGTCAAGGTCTAATGTTCCTCATTAGACCACTGATTAGTTTATGTTTCTCAGCTTAAGTACATCACACAGAAAAGTGAAGAGCTTGCATCAAGTAACATGGAACAAAAGGAGAAGAAGAAGAAATCCAGTGCAGCTAAGGGAAGGAGAACTGAGGAAAATGAAACACCTGTGACTGAAAGTGAAGATTCCAACATGGCATGATTTACCTTTCAGTAACTTCTCTAGTCTTCCCTTACTATCCTAGAAGACCAAGGTTAGCCTGCAGTGATTGCTCTTGCAGATTAGCAAGCTTAAGGAATCTCTGTAATTTTTTTAGGTAAACGTGCTTAGTTACATTCTCTTGTTCCAAAAATGAAAGGACTGTCAGATTCCAACAAAGTTTACAGCCAAAATGCCTTAATTGTTCACTAAACAAAATCTTACTGTTATTAAGAAGAAACTTCTTTATTGATAGAATTTAAAGCAAGGCACAGCCACTGAGCATATTCACACCTCAGTATGAGCAACTCCCTGCAAAGGACAATTTAATTTCTCCAATAATTTTTTGACCTCTTCCTCACTTCCATTTCTGACAGATTTGTTTAGCTATTATAAACATTTTCCTTTTTCATAGCCATATCTCTTGTTGCCTTGGCAATTAAAGCATGTTCTGTGTCATTTCTCTCCTGTGATTTTGTTGATGTACAGTAATCACCTTCTGGAAGTTGTGGGGCACTTTCCAAACGTTGTGGAAAACGGCTCCCAGTGGTGGTCGGAAATCACTACTGCCCTCCGCCGGTCTGATGCAGGCTTACCAAATGCTGACTAAAAATGAATTCCTCCTACCTTCAGATCAATATTTCACAATGGCACTTTTAAATATCCTCCTGTTTCCCAGTCCAGAACTGCTCCACCTCCAGGGATAAGATGATCTTTTAAATAAATTATTCTACTGAATAATGCAGAGTAATCTAGATAGATGATGATGAACTGTAGAGATTCTGTATTCAACAGGAAGTTTTTCCTCTTGAAATGCTGGTGTTTCTTGACTTTTCATATATATTTTTTTAAATAATGCCCCTATACATTACTTTCTTTCTTGAAGTTTGTGTGTCATCATACATTTCTTTCTTGAGGCTTTGTGTATTGTCATATATACTGGTCACCATATAGGAGATGGAAGAGTTTGTGATGTTTTAAGGAAGAAATCATTAATGCAGTGTTGAAGACCATTAATTGAGGCTACTCGTTCATGGCAAATGTATTTCTGAGAAAGGAATCTGTTACAAGGTTTGTCTACTTGGATCTGTAAATAATGAAGGCTAAGTTGGGGCTTTGATATTCTAAATGTTTTGCCATTAACAGAGCAAAGCAGCAGCCACCCCAGCTTTTGCCTTCTGGCAATGTTCACAACCTGTGAGGCATCCCTGCCTCCTGAACACCTCTAAAATGTTCATACTTATGAATCATGTGCAGCACAGTTCCTGTGTTTAAATGTTAAAACTTCTTAAAGGAAGAACATCAAGGAAATGCTAATTTTTGCGTAGTTAGGGAACTTGCAGCTTAAATGAGCTGAAGTGAATCAAACACTTTTCATCTATAAAACATACATCTAATTTAGTGTTAAATTAAATTACAGAGCATGGTTTGTTTCTCCTGATTTGCATATGCTAGATAAGCAAAGAGTGACCAAATATCATTTTCTGCTTTGATCTACACTTGTCTCTAACGCAGATGGTTCTTCAGCTGTCTGTTGTCCTCGGCTACAATTTGTCACTTTGACCAAATGCTTGTGCACGTAACACTGCTGGAACATGGAAGGTGCTGGCTGAAAGCCTGAGGTTGTGCACTGAAACGTTTTGTGATTGCTTGATGTAGAAACATTAGATCTGGCAGCAGGTCTCTGTTTTCACTGACAGGGAATTCTAGCTCTGAACTGATGTTCAGAATAGAATGATCAGAAGCTACCCTAAAAAAAAAGGCCAATTTATAAGGATAATTGAACTGCTACATTTAAAAATGCCATTGAGGTATTTTAGTTTTCAGCTTTGATTGATTGCACCATTGAAATAGATCCAAGCAGCAGTACATAAGCTTGACCATTAAAAAATGATTTTTCATAGAAATTAGGGGATGAGATACAGCACTGAAGTCCGTTAGCCTATTAGCTAATTGCTGCTCATTTTTCACTGAGACATTTGAAGAATGTTGACTGTAACAGAGCTTTAAGGAGAGTTAAGTACTAAGTATGTGCTCTTTGCAGATGATTCAAATTACTCCTGAAAGTTCAGCTTTACTGCAGCCCCCATCAGCTTATAAAAGTCTGATTATTTTGCTACTGTAACAGAGTGATTAAGGAAAAAAGTATCTGTTTAAATCATACTATGGTAGGCCCAGTTAATAATTTAATTCTGAAGTTTAAGAACTGCAATATTGAATAACTTGCAGGCATCTAAGTTCTAACCTTGGTAACAGAAAAAAGGAGAAAGCAGTGAAAACCTCTGTTTGTTTTCTTCTTAAAGTCAGATTTGAAGGACCATCACTGCCTTCTACAAGAAGTATCAGCATGGTCTCTGTGACTTCCAGCTCAGAATTTGCCTGAAGTAGGTGAGTTCAATACTCCTAATACATGGAGGATGTCAGTAATTATGCTGTTATTTTAGGTGTATGTGAAAAAGCTCCGGGTAAAATCCTCCTTTCCTCTTGTACAGCACGAGCAGCAGGATTTCCATTGCTAAGCTGAGCTAGGAAAAAAAGCAAAGTATTGCAGCCTTGAGCAAGATTGATAAACTAGTTGATAACAGGAAGAATGCGAGACATGAGCTCACAGAAAAGCCTGCTGACAGCTGGTATGCCCAGTGCACTCAGTGTCATGAGCTTTGAGCGTAATAGAGCATGCTTCAAAAATTGTTTATGGACAGCTGTATATGCTCTTTCATAAAGGCTTGAACATAAAAAGACTGTAATAAGTAGCTATTAAAAACAGCAGGAAACTCTTTTACCTGCCATGGCCTGCAATGTTACAAGCCAGAAATATACACTGTACGAAGCAATTATGTGCCTTGGCAAAACAGGCTTCAAGAAAGTGACTGCAAGCTTCCCTCCAATTCCAGTCAAGTCTCAGTGGGTTCTTGCCCAGAGGCACTGAACTGGCAAGGATACACATTAATTACACAGGCAGTCTGACTTTGTATGTGCCACAATCCAACTCAAACCTACATACAGCGGGTTCATCTGAATGCCTGCTGTAGCAGTACTTGCAGGAGGCAGCCTGCACCATTTGAAGTTATGTTCAGTCAGTGGGTTTTGCGTGGTAACAGAAAACATCGATAGCTACAGAAACATTAGGTTCTGTCTTACCTTTCAGATTATTTCATGTCCATCTCCCAAGATGGAGAGTTCTGGTGTAATGTTCACAACGGAGTGAATGCAGCTGTACTTCCACAACATTTTTGAGTGAGTAAAATAGGGAACACTTCTGTATTTAAGTTCTACAGTCCTTAACATAATACTATACTTACTGGCACATTCTTTAATCATAGCAGCCACATCAAAAGTAATCCAACATTTTAGTACAAAAAAGTTTTAAAGACATGAGAATTCATTCAATTTAAAAACAAGCAGGTTAATGCAGAGCTGTCATGATGATATACCAATGGTTAGAATACAGACCAGCCAAATACAAGTCTTCTGCCCTACAGCCATTCAAAACAAGCATTTCCATTTTAGCTGTTCTACAAATTAGTGCTTGCACTACACTGAAAGATGCAGGAGTTTTTTTACATGAAAAATAAACAAACAAAAAAATCCCCATAACCACAACAAAAACACAGAAGAGGTTTTGATTTTACTTTAACAGGTAAGATTAGCATGAGAATTCCAAGTGCCTGGATGCCAGGCTAGAGATTAAAGGAAGCAGCTGGAAAAACTGCCCAATGCTAGTATCACAATAAATCCCTCAAAAAAACCCAAAAAACCCAACCCCCAAAAAACCCCAAATGTTCTGTGTTCAGTGAGCAATAATCAAAATGCCTGCTTTCTGTTCATTAATGATGTAAATAATTTTCATCCTTTCTGCTGAAAATTGTGGGAAGGTGAGCAGACTGCCTGAGGCTTCAGAGCTAGATCAGCATTATCAGATGGAATTTTCTGGCTCCCACCCCAACGAGCTATTCAAAGCTCAACTCTTACATGCTGTGTTTAGCAATACCATTGTTTTACTACTCTGCAAAAAATCCAAATCCCTTTGGTTACACATGATTTGAATCATCACAAGTATTTATGCCTCAGGACAACATCCAAATTTGAGTTTTCTGCAGCCAGACCACAGTATGACCAGCAAACCATGGCTCCCAGGACATACCTTATTTCTGTTGGTTCTAATTAAAAAAAAAAAAATTAAAAAAATGCAACCGACAACTACTTGCATTTCCCTCACATGAGGCAGAACTACAGTGTTATTTTCTGCGTTTTGAACTGAGCCCATCTCCACAAGGCAGTGCTTTCTTGCCCCTTGATGCGCTCCTCAGGGAGTGCAAAGTCTGCACTTGCTGTAGACGCTTGCAGAGCTCCTGATCACAGGCTTGTTGTACAGCTTCAGCTTTCTGCTTGTCCCAGCCTAAAGCTGCAGCCAGGGTTTGTGTGTCTTCTTTCACCACCAGCTGTAAGAGACAAACTTGTAGCAGTGCTGCCCGCTGATGCTCTAACACCACAACCCCCTGCCCACAACACACTTAAGAACAGCAGTAATGAGACACCTGTTTAATGCCAATGTAGTGTTGAAGATGTTTCCAGCTTACATCTTGTATCTCTTAGGCTAATGTATTTTTCTTTATATCCTACCAGTACTTAGAGCTGTATGAAGTACTTGAAGCTCTATGTTCAAACTAGCAGAAAGCAGTTACTTTGTTTCTGCAGCAGAGAAAAGTGAGATTAACAATTTAATATCATCAGAACATTTTCTCATGGCTAGTTTACAGACTTTCCTTTTTGTGCCCCAGAGGCTTCCCCTCTCAACCCTTCCTCCCAAGAGGAGAGATTTGCCATGGTTGTTGACATGACTGTATGATCCTCACCCACCTCTAGAGTCTGACTGTCCAAGCAGAGCTCTGGGGCAGGTTTCTCTTTTAAAACAGCAAAGATCTGATCACTGAGGGCTGTTCTGGCTGAAGACCCTGCACTGCTGGAACCTGTGTCAACCACATCCATCTCCTTTCCTGGTGCACTCTCAGACTCTGAAAAACAGAAGAATCATTACGGCCACATGCACAGGACAGGAAGCGTAGTCCAGACTGCATTGTTGTTTTTTGAGATTAGATATGCAGCCTCTAATTTAGGAAATCCATAATATTAAGGATGACTACACTGTGTAAGTTTTCCCTCATATTCTACTTTCAGGCACTGTAAGCAATGTGACAGCAGTGAAAGGACTCCTGGTCTCTGCCATTCAGAGAACTCTTCCACTACACCAGCTGATGTTCATAGCAAGCGACTCGCCCCAGTCCTTCCCCCACTTATTTGTCCCACTCAACTCCTTCAGGCTTCTCTGAGAAGCTCCTTTTTCAGCATCCTAATGTTCCCTACCTGCTACTTTGCTCAAGATGTTGTCTTCATTTTTCAAGGCCTCTAAGTAGAGTTCCAGGAGCTGCTTTGACTGGCGTTCCTCTTCTCGTCTGTCCAGCACCTGCTGCAGGGTGTCCTGCAATACCTGGGTTTTGGCTTGACTTTGGGCAAGTTCCTCTGCCAGATCCGAACATGGTACATCAATAAGCACCTTAAAACAATAGAAGTGCTGTTATATGGACTGAGTGAGTAAATCCATCACGCTGATTACAGCACAAACAACAAGCCCGAATGACAGTGCCTCCACCTTTGTGAAACCTTGTATATTTCACAAGGTTTTCACAGCAATCAGCCTGGTTATGAAAAGCTGCAGTGGCATTCCAGCAGCCCAGAGATATTCAGGAAGGTGCAGAATGGTGCATTTTTAACATGATGATTTTTTGCCTGACAATTCCAGGCAAAGTACCAATTCTTAAGTGAGTGTAGAAGCACACAGAAGAAAGCCAGCAGGCTGGCACTTAAGAATCTGCATGCTGCAAGAAGGGGCAGAATCACAAAGATATGCTGTGAGAGATAATCAGTGATTTAGAGCATCTTCCTCGAGCACTTGTGCTGTCAATGCAAAAAGGATTCCCCCTCAAGGAGAAATTTCACTTTAGCACCACAGCCAAAGAAACAACAGCTGAATTAAGCTTTGAGATCCAATTTGCTTATTCTGTTTTGTGCCATTCTTTACAATGTATGGACAGGCTTGGCCCCTGCTTGGTCTTCCCCTCTGTACCTGCAGGTCTTCTTCAGACATCAGGATGATGTTGGACAGGTCACCCTTCAGCTGCCGGGCCAGCTGCCTCCACCTCTCTGCACCGCTGTCCACTTCGTCCGCAGGCTCTGAGAGCCAGGTCGATCTGCATTCTGCCATTAACATCATCAGCCAAAAGATGAAAGCACAAAGCTATCGAGATCGGAACGAGAGCCATTACTTCCCATTTACAGCTATTTAACGCTGCTTTTTTTTACGCAGTGTCAAAACCGGAGGGTGACATCTGTCACAGAGCAGCTCCTTGCTAAAACGAGGCTCTCTGGCTCGGCTTCCCCGCTCAGATGGTCGGGGGCGTAAAATCTGGGGCAGTTTGCCTCCTTTCTGGGGCCCTTTCTCGCTCTCACAGCCCTACGCAGCCCCGCTCGTACCCGGCAGCTCCGCTCGCCGCCCCCATTTCTCCCCTCCAGGAAGAGCCGCCCCGCGCCGCCGCTACCTGCGCTCTTCCCGGACCACCTCTCGCCCTTGGCCAGCGCCACGAACTTGGTGTTGGATGGCAGGCACAGGAAGTAGTCCTCGTCGTCCACGATGGTGCCATCCTCCGCCAGCACCAAGGTGATGGGCCGCCCGTCCTCGCCGATATCCAGAGCGCGGCCAGCTGCGCGCAGAGAAACGTTCAGTGCCGTTAGCGCCGGCCCCGGGCTCTTTCAGCGGGCCGCGCCCGGGAATCGCCGCCGCTCACCCTTGTCGCGCAGCTCCCGCAGGCAGGAGGCGGCCAGCCCGTGCTGCTCGCGCCCGTCGCCCCGCCGCACCACGCACGGCTTCATTCGCGCCGCCATGGCTGCGGAGGGGCGGCGCTCGGCGCTTATTTCCGCGGCCGCCTTAAAGGGACAGGCGGCCTGGGCCGCGGCGACGGGCGTCGGTGGCGCATCGGTAGCGCGGCGCTCAGCTTGTGCTGCCTGCGGCGCTCCCGGCGGCGGGGCGGGCGAACCATCGTCTGGGCGGGCATGGATTAGCTGGGCCTGGGAAGATGGCCTCCTCGGAGCAAGCGGAGCAGCCAAGCCAGGTACGCGGGGCCGGCGCTCTGCCCGCTCTGCTCGGGCAGCGGGGCGGGTGGGGCCGGGGCGCCGCCACCTCCGCGGGGGAGCGGTCGGGAGGAGGGCTGCTGGCTGCTGGCCTCGGCTCGCCCCGCCGCCTCCTCGTGAACCGGGGCTCGCGCCGGCCCTCTGCGCTCCCGCCCCCCGCGCGCGGCCTCGGCGCCAACCGCCTCCCGCGCGCCGCTCCCCCTCACGGCCGCCACCGGCGGTCGCTCCTCGGCCGCTGAGGCGCGGAGCTCTGCGGGAAGCGCGGCCTCGAGGGGCGGAGGAGGGGAGGAGGTTCCAGCCTGGGAGCGGCTGCCAGGGCCTCGGGGAGCTCTGGCTGTGTGGGGGTAAAGCAGTCGGATGGGGGGAAAAGAAGTCGGAACGAACCAACGCAACGCTCAAGCGGAGAGAGGCAGTGCGCGAGTCAGGTGGGTTTGCACGTCAGGTGGACGAAGTGATTGTGCCTTGCAGCAGCTGGGGAGAAAAATCCTTGAAGCAGTGGCACCAAAGGGCACAGCAATGACGGGAGCGATGCAAACCCTGCCCATAAGTGAGTGAGGGGCGTTGGGAGAGGCACCGGCGTGTTGCCGTTACTGGGTGCTCAGGGCAGGTACTGGAATCACTGGGGTTTCATAAATTGGGCCCTGAAGCGAATGGGGGAGGCAGAGGGGAAGATGGCAGCACAGTGGAGTTGCACTTGCTGTGGGTTTCCAGCCAGCTGCGTTTGGGCTGGAGAGGGACCTTCAAAGGCTGTGCTATGGGACTGAGAGTGCAGTGTAACCCTGTGTTACCACGCCACCAACCGAGCCCAGATGCAGGGACCTGGCAGCCCTCTGATAGAGCACTGTGCAGTACCACAGGGAGGTTGTAAAACCTTGAGGCGGTCGCAGAAAAGCCTTTTCTTGGAGGTGAAGGCTGTGGGAGGAACAGGGAGGAAAACAGCAGATCTGCTTTGCTTTTCTGAGCAGTCATTCACATCTGTTCTCATTTGACTGAATCACCACTCACCTTTCCATTGGTACTTTTATTTTGGACTGAAGAAGCTAAGTTTGTAGGGAACATTGCTGAGCTAAATGGAGGTGGAGATAAATTCCGTAAAGCTTGTGCTCTGAGCCCTGGGCTGTGAAAGGCTCCGTTATCAGGCTACTGGTTGGCTTGCTGAACAGTTCTGCACTGGCCATGTGCTTTCATCAATAGCAGCTTGAGGTGCAGGCACAGCAATCTGTTCCTCGTGCTCTGGGTGAGCGCCGTCAACAAGAGGAAACCTGAAACATCCTCAGACTGATCTGTAAGCCACTGGGCAGTCTCTGAGGCAGCTGTCTGCAGGTTTCCGATAAAGAAGTCTGCTTAATTGGTAAATATGATTGCCTGAGAAATATTTGGGTTCCCATGATATCACGTACTCTCACTGCACCCTTTAAATCTCTGTTTTATACTTCTTTAATATTGCTTTGCCTCAAAAGGAGGCTCGATGTTTGCATTTGGATGCAGGCTGTTGGAAAGTAACTTTTTGCCACAGAGAATCCGCTGTGTCTAGCTCCTGTGAAGAGAGAGAGGGTTCCATGCCACTACAGGAGAAAATGGGCACTTTACAGCTCCCCTGCTGGGTTCTGTAACGTATACAAAAGCAACAATTTGTGCCCTGTGTGCCTTATGGCCTGTCATGGCCTCCTTATGGCACATCCAGTTTGTAGGGCTCCTTTGGTGTTGTGCCTGGTTTGGGTACAGGAAGTACTGATGGGTTCAGCTGCAGGACAACCATGCTCTGTGCACCAGGAGCAGCCCTGTTTGTACTGAAATTCCTCCTTCCCCATGTTGCGTGTTAGCATGGGATGGAAAGGTTGTTCTGTCCAAGGCTGTCAGGCACCGCTCTCCTCCCCCATCGCCCTGACATTGATTGCGTATCTTCATCCAGAACTGCAGCTGGGGAGTGTTCAGTGCCCTCAAATCTGATTAGATTGGGTGGGATTGGCGAGAAACCAGCAGGTTTGGCCAGGAGCAAAGGGTGTAATCTGCAATTAAAGGATATGTAGCTACAGTAGATGATTTCTTAAGGGGACAATTTTGCAATAAAGCTTTTTATCTTTTTATTTTTTACCAGAATATGAATACCACTCATTATATGCAGCCGCTGCAGTTTTGACACTGGTACCAATGCATGTAAGAGGTGGTCTTTGTAACACACTAAACATGTAAAGAACTTCAAAAATATATTTATTTTCTACCCCTGATCATGTTTGTTTATTTGTAGTCAAACATTCAACATGAGCCTGTGAGTGGTAGAACTGTCTTGCTTAACATGTTTATGTTTGGATCCTATCATCTGCTATTACAAATCTAGTTAGTTTTGCTGCTGCAAAGGGAGCGTCTGATATCTTTTGCCTTACTGTCTGTTTTGTCTCATTTGTCTCATTCTCATGAATTAATGTATTGCCTCAAGCATTGCAGAGAGTGGTGTTGCAGCACAGAAGAAATCATTGACATAGATAGGATTATGCTCTAAAGGCAATAAACGTTTCTGCTACAGATTTTAAATAAGTTATTTTGTTCAGAATTCATATTCCTTGGGCTTTTTAGTAATGTTAATAAAACAACAAAATAAAGAAGGAAAAAAAAAGAACAGCCCCTAAAAGGGAAGGGTGATCAAGAGGATGATGTGGGCTGTGAACAGAGTAACCGATTTCTGGCCTCTCTGGGCTGTCAGGATTTCTTTAGTGCTGAGTACTTGGACCGTATACTGGAGAGTGTGGTTGGCTCAGCCAGCAGCAGCTCAGGCCCAAATCCTGTTTTCTTTCTGAAGCTTCACTGTACCCACTTTGGGCCCAGCCTGCCATCTAGCTGTGGCTTGCCTTCATGTAGGGAAATAATTAAATTTCAAAGGTGTTGAAAGGTGCCTGATTTCTTGCTCCAGAGTTGCACATCTCTAATTGCATCACTAGTTGATGCGTAGGTGAATTTTCCTCCCCTCTTGCCTCAAGCTCTGGAGTGCTTAGCCTTGGAGTTTTCTGCTGTGTGCATCTTAAAGGATGGTTTATGGTATGGGATATTTGGTCTCTGGACTGTGATGGCCATTGCTTTGGTAAACACAGGCTATTGAGCAGCCATTGCATAGAAAGGATGGATTCTTCTCTGACTTATCTCAGAGCTCCCATGTGCCAGAGGGTTGCTGTGCTCTGCCTTATGACACCAGTTCCTTTACTGTCACAGTGCCTTGTGTGCACAGATACTGCAGGAAGGAAATGCAGATCTCATTTAAACTGTTGGTAGCCTTGGACGATACAATCAAAATACTATGGATTATCCAGCTAATCAAATATGTCATCAGGCTGTTGACAAGCACATCAGAATTTTTGATTATGTGCTCTCAGAACTCTGACCTACCCACATAATACTTATTTTCACACGTTAACCTGGGCTCCATTCCAGGTGCTCTTTGGGCAGTTTCCCAGGTTGGCTAAAGGCTGCATGTAAGTCTGTAAGTGCTGGTGCAGCTCCTGAAGGCAGAACAGATGTGCTCCTGTGCACGGGAGGCTCTGGGACTTCTCTGGGGCTGTGAATCCCATGGAGATCAGTGCAAGGGAATGGCTTCTTTCTGTGTGGCTTTGTTCCTTGCAGCTCTTTTCACAGTCAGCTTAAGTAGTTCAAATGCTTAGGATTTTCCTTAAAATGTGCATATTCTTAGAAAACCCAACACTTAACCCAAGTGTCTTGATGGAATGGTTCAGTGGAGGTAGCTGTAGGTGCCCTTTGGAAGCATTCAGCAGCACTGTCTCCCTTGTCTCAACACTTCTGACCCTGACAGCAGGTACACTGTGCGTATGGAGATAGGAGTTCAGCCACAGACTTGAAGGGAGAAGTGCCCTTTTCTTGCAGTCACGTGGCATTGCCTCCACCACACCGGTCAGCGTGATTCGGGTATGGTGTGGAAATGGTATTTGCAGTCATTGAGATGAACTGATGGTGGCTGATTGATAATCATTGGGCAAAACAAAACTGGAGGTGGCTGCATGGGGAAAGGACGAGAGCCTGCAGAGATCACTGCCCTGCTGTGGGAGCTGACTGGGCCTGAGGATGTATTCGGGTTTGGAAGTAGCAGAGTTGGATATGTTTGTGTTACTGGCACCCTCTTGTGGCAAATACTCATTTCTGTATGTTTTTGGGTGGTGGTTAGATGGTGAAAAAAGAGACTGGAGCTGCTTTGAAGGTGTGATGTATTGCATAAGAGTGCATGTAGTTGAGGTCAAGAAGTCACTTAAGGACTCTGTGGTACCGCTGTGTAGCTTTCACTGTACTCAATGAATAGGATCTCCTTTCTCTAAGTGAGCCTCAAAACGTGTCATCTTTACCATTAGTATCATTATTTCTTCATTGAGGCAACCAGAACATGACTGTTTCCCTTAGGAAGAAAACACAGTGAAGGCAGTACAGTGTAGCCCATCAGAACACACATGAATCCCATTAGAAAGTAGATGGTTGACAGAAGATTTTTATGCCGAAATGAAGTGTCTGTACCTTGGGAGAGCTGAGACATGGTGGTTATGCAGTGATCAAAGTTTGCATTTGTTATGCCTGCAGAGTGGAAGCTCCTGAATTTTAAGTGTTATCCAGCTTTAGGCTTGCTGTCCTGCCTACGTCCCATAGCTTCCCTTTTACTGCTGTGTGCCACCCTTCCCTGGTGTGCAGGTGAGGTGCTCAGCATCTGATGACACTGGTATTGCTCAGGTGCTGTGGGCTATACTTAAATCATTGCTTTGAAACCTGTAGAGGAATCAGATTGGATGGGGCCCTGGGCAG